ACAATTTCCTGTAAGGAGTGGACCTCTTTTCACTGTCTATGCTGTCACTCCTATCTGAAGCACTTTCACCACATGCCCTGCTACAGTCGTCATACAGACTGAGTCTTTCCCCACCAGTGCAGGGCTGGGAGCTTCACCTCCAGTGTGGGGATGTTAAGACCATGAGGACTTAAGAGCTTGGGCCGAGTGGAAGGTGCGCAAGTCTCTAAAGGCACTGCCTCTGGGAAGGATGATCAAGTTCTTTATGGACACTGGTGAGCTCTTACAAGTGGGAGAGGGTCATTAAAAGAGTGGGTCCACCTAGTAGGCCCACATTCCTTTCTCTCCTCATGACTTCTCACAGACACTCCAGCCATTATGATACCATCTCCCCTGTGGTCCTCACTAGAGGCCAGCCGATGCTGATGCCATGCTCTTAAACCTCCAGACCATAAATTAAAATCTTTTTCCTTTATAAAGTACTCAGCTCTAAACACTTAGTTGCAACCACAAAAAGCTGACATGACTGGGGAGATAGCCTGGCAGTCTAAGTGCCTGCCTGGCAAGCACAAGGTCCTGAGTTTGATCCTCATTACTACATGTCCTGCCAGCGCCAGAACCCCAGGAATGCCATGCCAGCCCCAAAACCATGCATGGTACTGAATGCCTGTAATCCCAGCATTTGGGAGACTGAGACTATGAGTCTGAACTGCATAGTGAGACCCTGCATAAAAAAAAAAAAAGCGGACTAATCTACACATACTGTTTTCATAATCTTAAATATGCTTTTGTTGCACAATGAGTATTATAAACACGTATGTCATTTATTTATTGCTGTGACATCTGACATGAAGAGCTCAGAGGGAGAAATGTTTATTTTGAGTCATAGTTTCAGAGGATTCAGTCCATGGTTGGCTTCAACGCAGAAATGTCATGACATGGATGTCAGATCATGACAACAGGGGACAGCTGCTCACCTCTAGAGAGTCAGGAAGCAGAGAAATGGTGAGAGAGCCAGAGAAGTGGGAATTAGAAAAAATACCGTCCCTACCATACTGAACTCGAGTTGGAAGAGGCAAGTCCGGTCTCAAAATGGAGGGCCATGATCCAAAGGAATCAGAGCTCTTGAGGAAACTGTTTATTGGTGGTCTGAGTTTTGAAACTACAAATGATAGTTTAATAGAACACTTTGAGAAATGGTGCACACTCACAGATTGTGTAGTAATGAGAGATCCTCAAAATGCTCCAGAGGCTTTGGTTTTGTGACTTATTCTTTTTATTTTTTTCATTTTTTTTTTATTTTTTATTTTTTATTTTTTTTATTTTTCAACAAATAATACACTGCATATATTCTTCTTAGTGGTTAATTGCTGTACAAGATGCGGACTTGTGATCCTATTTACAAACTCCATTAGAACAAATCATTCTATTCATTAACAGAATGTAACTATATATCTATCCCAACCACTTTGAATACACAGATACAAAATGGACATTCATCTGTATACCCCATTTTTTCTAAGTTCCGTTATTGAATATTATAGGTGTGTAAACTCAGCAAAATATTCTAAAAGAGTCCAGTAGTCCATAATAGCATTGGGTCTTCTGTTTAACTGGCAATGTCAGAAATTATTGACCTGAGTCCCCCACAGCTCAACTTAACAGCATGGCTTTATTTCTTGTAATTTCGTCTTCATACTTTTCTGCTGGATGGTTAAGACCAAGGTAAAGCAGGACCTATGCAACAAGAGTTGTAGCTTTTTGGTCTGAGAAGGTCAGTGAAATGCCCTCAGGATTTGTCCTGAGATCCTGTACCTCAGATTGTAGAACCTTTATCAGTGCAGCCATGTGGATGAGTCACGGCCAATGCTTGGCCAATGTGCTCTCTGTGAAAGCCTGAGAGAGTATCTTCTCCCCATGTGACTCTCCTTAGGCCCACTCTATGTCATCGATCACTTTCCTCTTTGGCCCCATAATCTTCTTGATCAGAAAATTTGGGACACTACCGAGGTACATGACGTTACAGTACAAGTTCTCATATGTCCTGAGTCTTAATTGACCTTAGAAGGCTAGGGCCAAAATGTTGGCTTTCCTTGTATCCCTCCTTTTTCTCTAATTTTGGTCTGCAAACTTAGGTTGTTAACCATCCAGAAGAAAAGCTTATTGTTATTATCAAACGATTTGGGCTATCAATCTTAACCTCACTATCTCACTGCATTTCAAACATCTTAGGCATCATAAGGAAGGTTTTGTGACTTATTCTTGTGTTGAAGAGGTGAATGTCGCAATGTGTGCTCGACCACACAAAGTTATGGGCGTGTAGTAGAACCAAATAGAGCTGTTTCTAGAGTGGATTCAATAAAGCCTAGTGCTCATCTAACAGTGAAGAAAATTTTGGTTGGTAGTATTTAAGAAGATACAGAAAAAATGGCAAGATTAAAACCATAGAAGTTATGGAAGACAGGCAGAGTGGGAAAAAGAGAAGATTTGCTTTTGTAAGTTTTGATGATCATGACACAGTTGATAAAATTGTTGCTCAGAAATACCACACTATTAAAGGGCATAATTGTGAAGTGAAGAAGGTCCTTTCTAAACAAGACATGCAGTCTGCTAGATCACAAAGAGGCTGTGGAGGTGGATCTGGCAACTTTATGAGTCGCAGAGGAAACTTTGGAGGTGGTGGAGGGAATTTTGACTGTGGTGGAAACTTTGTAGAAAAGGAGGCTATAGTGGTGGAAGAAGTGGCAGCAGAGGTAGTTGTGGAGGAGGTGATGGTAAATATAATGGATTTGGAGGTGATGGTAGAAATTATGGTGGTGGTCCTGGTTACAGAAGTAGAAGAGGGTATGGTGGTGATGGACCAGGATATGGAAGCCAAAGTGGTGGATACAGTGGTGGAGGAGTATGATATGACAGTTACAATGAAGGAGGAAATTTTGGTGGTGGTAACCATGGTGGTGGTGGGGATTATAATGATTTTGAAATTATAGTGAACAACAGCAGTTAAATTATGGACCCATGAAGGGGGGCAGTTTTGGTGGAAGAAGCTTTGGCAGCTCCTATGGTGATGGTTATGGATCTGGTGGTAGAAGTGGTGGGTAGCAGGTTTTAACAAACAACAGAAAAGGGCTACAATTCTTAGCAGGAGAGAGAGCGAGGAGTTGTCAGGAAAGCTGAAGGTTACTTTGAGATAGTCATCCCAAATGCATTGGAGGAACTGTAAGAATCTGCCACAGAAGGAATGATGCACAGTCAGAAAAGTTACTGCAGCTTAAACAGGAAACTCTTCCGGTTCGGGACTGTCATAGCCACAGTTTGCAAAAAGTACAGCTATTGATCAATGCAATGTACTGTCAATTAGATGTACATTCCTGAGGTCTTTTATCTGTTATAGCTTTGTCTTTTTCTTTCTTTTCATTATATCAGGTATATTGCCCTATAAATTGTAGTAGTGTACCAGGAATAAAAAATTAAGGAATTTTTAACTTTTCAAAAGAAAAAAATACCATCCCCAAATTCATACCCACTCACTGGCTTTTTCTAATGAAGCCCCTGCTCCTCTTTCCATCACTCCCTGTCTCATCATTGAGTGGACTCATCTAACAATGAAGTTAAAGTCCTCAGATCCAATCACTTCTCTGGTTCCTGCTGCGTTACAGATCAAGCCCTGGCTCCATGAGTCTTTGGGGGATACTTTATATTTAGACCATAACAACAAATGACAGATACCTGAAATAAATAATTTATATTTATGTACATATGTACATATGTGTATATGCATATATGCATATGCGTACACACCTACATCAGATAACTGGCTGCCTGCCCAACATCCATTCTTTCTTCCTCCCTCTTTATGGCAGAGTCCTAAGTTTGTTGCAGTAGTCAACTCCACCTCAGAGAAAACCTTCTCTCCCAGCCTCGAGGGTTAAATCCAATCATAGTCATCCCATTTCATTGACATTAGTGGTTTGGGGCACATACGAGTATTAGTCCTGATAAAGCAGAGGTAAAGAAAGCTGGGAGGGAAAGCACTGACACAAGTTTCTGGGAAAGTGGTTCCTCCCTACTTAGAGGGAGGCTTGGGAGAAACAGACCTCTTCCCAGAAATTGTATCTGCATCCCAGACCTGGAACTGCTTACGTCACCATGTGACCCTAAGAGGAATCATCCCACAATGAGAATAGATAAC